ATAAATATCAGGTTCCAACTCTGGTAGTAAGCTATTAAGATAACACCCAATGATCCCTGCTTCAGAGTATTTACACTCTTGTGCTTGTGTGATTCCATGCCCTATGAGATAAGGCTGACCCAAGTAACCAATAAGATATTGCAGAAATAACCACGTACAACATCTAAAGCTTTGTTTTTTTAAAAAATACTTTCTTAGTCTTCAGTTACAGCTGACATACAATATTATATTAGTTTCAAGTGTACAACATAGTGATTAGACATTTATATAACTTACGAAGTGATCACCCCGATAAATCTAGTATCCTTCTGACACCATACATGGTTATTAAAATATTATTGGCTATTTTGTGACTATTTTGTAACTACCAAATTGCACCTCTTAATCCTTTACCTTTTTTTGCTCACCTACCCCAAGACTCCCTCCCATCTGGCAACCATCAAGATGTTCTCTGTATCTATGAGTTTGTTTCTATTTTGTTTGTTCATTTTGTTTGTTTGCTTGTTCATCAGATTCCACGTATAAGTGAAATCATATAGCATTTGACTTTCTCTGTCTCCCTCAACTCAGCATAATACCCTCTAGGTCCATCTGTGTTGTTCAGATGGCAAGATTTCATTTTTTATGGCTGAGTAATATTTCATTGTATGTATATACTACCTCTTCTTTATCCATTTATCCATAGATAGACACCCAGGATACCTCTATATATTGGTTATTGTAAATAATGTTGCAATGAACTTATGGAGTCACATGTTGCTTCAAAGTAGTGTTTTGAGTTTCTTTGAAGTAGAAAATTGAGACCTTCTTTCTTTCTTAGTATAGCCTTTGTTTTAAAGTCTATTTTGTCTGGTATAAGTATTGTTTATATATCCCAGATTTTTTGTTTGTTTGTTTCCATTTTTATGAAATATATTTTTCCATCCCTTTACTTTCAGTCTGTATGTATCCCTCGATTAGAAGTGAGTCTCTTGTAGGCAGCATATGTAAGGGTCTTGTTTTCTTATCCATTCAACTACCTTATCTTTTGTTTAGAGCATTTAATCCTTTTATACCTGAAGTATTGTCGATAGATATGTAGTTATTACCATTTTATTATCCATATTTTTTTTCTTATCCTTCTTTAAGAAGTCTCTCTAACATTTCCTGTAATACTGGTTTGATGTTGATGAACTCCTTTAGCTTTTTCTTATCTGGAAAACTCTTTATCTGTCCTTTATTCTAAATGATCCTTGCTTTTCACCACTTTGAATATTTCTTGTCAATCCCTTCTGGCCTGCAAAGTTTCTGTTGAGAAATCAGCTGACAGTCTTCTGGTAGCATCCTTATAGGTAAATAACTGTTTTTCTCTTGCTGCTTTTAAGATTCTCTCTTTGTCTTTAACTTTTGGCATTTTAATTATTATATGTCTTGGCGTGGACCTCTTTGGGTTCATCTTGTTTAGGACTCTGCACTTCTTGGGCTTGTATGTCTATTTCCTTGTCCAGATTAGGGAAATTTTTGTCATTATTTCTTCAAATAGGTTTTCAATTCTTTGCTCTCTCACTTCTCCTTCTGATGCCCTATGATGTGAATTTTGTTACAGTTGATATTATTGCAGAGGCCCCTTGAACTATCCTCTTTTTAGGGGAGGAGGGGGATTCTTTTTTCTTGTTGCTGTTCTAATTGAGTGTTTTCTGCTACCTTAAACAATATATTGTTCACTTATATTTTTTCGTCCTTTTAAAAATGGAAATTACACAGTACAAATCTGTATTTTGATTTTTTTCCCTCCACATTATATCTTTGAGGTTAAATCATAGTGATGTGTATAACTATGAGGCACTCGATTTCACTGCTATAATGTATTTCATCACTAATTTAAACCATAGAATATTTATTCAGTTTTCTGTTAGTGGATATTTGACTTACTTTTAGCTTTTTGCCATTATAAATAACGGTGCTGTGTACATTTCTGTACATACCACTTGGCGTACACATATGCAAGCAATAGATTCCTGGGAGTGGAATGATTATCAGGGTGAAATAAAATGCCACTTTTCCCAAAAGATTGTATCTATTTCCACTACCACCAGCAGAAATACAAAGCACTCATTGTTTTACTTTATCACCAAACATTTGAAAGACAAACTTTCTTTTTTGTCAATTCGTCAGGTATATGTCATTTTTATTTTAATTTGAATTTCATTGATTGCTAATGAGGTGGACATGTTGTCATGTATGTGTTAATTGCTTTGCTTCTTTCACAAAATGCATGTTTTTGTTTTTTTCCTCTCCTTTAATGAATGTGTTATTCTTTTTCTTGTTGACTTTTAATGTAAACATAGTCTAGATATAACTCCTTTGTCAGTTATATATATCGAAAGCATTTTATTTGTGCCTTACACGTTTATTTTCCAAATTATTATTTCTGAATGGAGAACAAAATTATTGGTATATGGACACAAAGAAATTTAAATACATTAATGGTTCTATGTTTTTAAGTAGAGTGATATGTATTTGAACTTTTAACAAATATTTTAATCAAATGAATGTCTTCACTAATATTTTATGACAAACATTCCAACAAACCCAATGATTAAAGAAATGAACCTCTATGTATCCATCACTAAACAATAACAATAATCATCTCATGGCCTTTCATTTCATCTACATATTTCCGTTACTCTGACTACACTGGATTATTTTAAAGTAAATCCCAAACAGCACAGTTCAACTGTAAGTACTTTAATATGTATTTTTAAATGAAATGAACATTTTAAATAATATAATTACAATATCATAATCACACTAAAAATAATTTTTTAACATTTTCAAATGTTCACCTTTAGTCAATTGTCTCAGACATGTGTTTTTCCATTTGATTTGTTCAAATTAAGATCTAAACATGGTGCATACATTGTATTTGATTGATAGATCTCTTATATGTTAAGAGTGTAATATTGCTTTATTTCCTTAAATCCATTTGCTGAGTCATTGTCCTATAGTTTCTCACCTTCTAGACTTTGCTGACTGTATTTCTGTGTTGTAACATGAAATCTGTCTTCATCCCCTTTATCTCCTGGAAATTGGTAACACAGTACTAATCTGAGGTTCTCAAACAGTTTTGATATTAACACACTTTTATATTCTTAAAAATTATTGAAGACTCCAAAGAATTTTTATTTATGAGTTATTGATATATAGATTAATGTTTATATATGTATTATTCTAGATATTAATATTTTTAAATATTTATTTACAAATTAGCTTTAATCATTTCTGAAAAAAATGTCAAAAAATGCCTGTCTGAGAATAAGTTTGTCGTTCAGTCCATTTTTCAAGTAAGAATTATGTTCTGTGAAAACTGTGGATTAAAAGTATTACAAATGTTTTTCTCAAGACAACAATTATATTTTATTATACAGACTTTCCATTTAGTCATACGGAATATCAGAATATCAAAAGAAATGTATCCAAGGTTTTAGATTTACTAAAATTATCTTTACTGTTTCATTAAGTTAATGAAAGACATTTTTACTTAAAAATGTCTTTTTTGTTTCTATGTACTTATTTTTTTGTTCCTTGCAAGTGTATAGATATGAAAAATACAGGTTCACACCACTGTGCTAAAAATTTTATCCACTTTTGTTTTTGCCCCATCAGGCAAATGTCAACACAGTAAAAAAGACAAAAAACACTTAAGTATAATTATGAAAATTCCAACTTCATAGTTTCCTGAAAATGTCTTGAAGACCCTCATGGGTCTGCATATCACCATCTGAGAGTGCCCTGTAAGGTATCAAACTGCCATCTCAGAACTGAACTAAACTACCAGGGAACTATTCGTCAGTGTTCTCGAACCAGCATGGCTGGGGAGAGCAAGTGCACTCCTCTGCTGTTCCTTGCGTTCCTGGCTGGCCTGTCGACTTACAAGATTGCTGCAGCAGCAGCTCTGAACCATCTCTTCCTCCCTTAACATTTGCAAATGTTCCCCTTTAGTCAACCGTCTCAGATGTGTTTTCTCATTTGGCTTGTTCAAATTAGGATCTTAACATCCTTGCCTTGATTTCAATCATTACTTTTCCCTCACTAATACTTGATTCTCACCAATAATTCTAATTCCTATACCCACACAATTTTTACTTATCGATTTGTTTTTCTTTAATTTTAAAAGACAAGGTGTAAAGAAAAAATACATTTGTGTGTGTGTGTGTGTGCATATATATATGTATATATAGAGAGAAAAAATAAAACATTTATACATAGGCCGGCAGGACTGAGTTCTCAGTAGATTGCTCAAAAATACACTCTTAACATTTTACTTATCTATCCAATGTCACAATGTTTTCTAAACTACGTACATCAGAATTTGTGCCACAGGCCACCTTCATTCCCGAAAGTTTTTCAGTGCAAGCAATCCAGGCATGGGAGGAGAAAGTCCAAACTTCACCTGTTCCTCAGGGAAGTACTGGCTTGCTAACAGGAAAGAGGTAACATCTGGGGTGGTTCCCAGGCATTGCCAGGAAGAGTCCACTCCCCACGGCACAAATCTCCTTGAATTAATGCCAAGCCCGTCCCCATGATCCCTATGTCTCCATATTCTCATTATCCATTCCGGCACCCCTCCCTCAGCTCCTCTTATAAAAGCCTAGTCGTTTCTGACTTGACCAACCATCTCAGGTACCTGCAAAACAGGTAAGTGGTGGTAAGTGCAAGCTGAGAGAAGATGAGATCCATGACAGAGGGTTAACTCACACATTTCAGAGAAGGTTATAGGAGGATTTTAGCAATTCTGAGACTCAGGTAAGGCCATCCTGGGAGGTCTCAGGGTAGTAGGGTGTACATATTCTCCTTTTCTTTCCAGAACTATAGAATGAGATGAATATCAATCACCAAGATCAATTTATTCCTAGGAGACAGAAAAAAGACAAGAGGAAGAACAGAGGGTGCTCTGCATGCCTTCTCTCTGATCACACTTCTTTAATGATCTCTAATTGCTTCCTCAAGTCTCAGACACGATGCTGCCTCCCATGGCCTTCCCCAGCTTGTCCTGGATGCTGTTCTCCTGCCTGGTGCTCCTATCTCAGGTGCAAGGTGAGATGTCTCCACCTCTAGCACTGGGCTCCCCGTGAATGCTCAGGGCCAAAAGAGGAGGAAGCCTTCTGTGCGATGCATGTGGCAATGCTGAGGCATATCCTCACACAATGAAGCTGCCTGAAATTCCTCCATCATCACT